TTGTTGTATACGCCGATCTAGCTTTTATTTTCTCAAGCTTCCATACTAGTACAACACGATCATTGCTCAGTACATGATCACTGCTCAGTAGAACATGATCACTGCTCAGTAAATGATCGCTGCTCAGTAGAACATGATCACTGCTCAGTAAATGATCACTGTTCAGTACATCAGGTTTTGTCTTGCTGGCACAATAATCCTCACTCGTCACATTACATTAACAATGCAGCTTCCTAAAGTTAGATATTTCTGCCGATCATTAATTTGGCTTCCCATACATCCAGGGTTTGTGGAGGGAAGGCGTGGGCGTGGAGGGAAGGCGTGGGCGTGCCTGTTCATAACACTTCACTGCTACAACTCTCCTTTAATTAATCTTTCCCGACTTCGGTGGTCACACTAATTACCAGCGGGGGGGGGTCCACATGAGCCCCACTACACCAACCACAACACCCATCACTACAACACCCACCTCTGCAACACCCACCAACAAAACACCCATCACTACAACACCCATCAATGCTACACCCATCACTGAAACACCAACCATGGGAACACCCATCACTACAACACCACAACCACAAACACACTATACAACCATAAGAACTATAAGGGCATCACAACATAAAACTACAATTACCACAACCATAAAACCATCACAACAGATCACCAATAAGAAAACCCGAACAACTACAACCATCACAACCCCTACTACAACCACAACATAACCAGACTACACGAACGACTACCTGGAGGTTACCTGGAGGTTATTCCTGGGATCAACGCCCCCGCGGCCCGGTCCATGACCAGGCCTCCCGATGGATCAGGGCCTGATCAACAATGCTGTTACTGTTGGCCTCACAACCCCCACTACAACCACAACATAACCATCAGACTACAGTAACGACTACAACCATCACAACCTCCATTACCTGGAGGGTATTCCGGGGATCAACGCCCCCGCGGCCCGGTCCATGACCAGGCCTCCCGGTGGATGTCCAACATACCTGGAGGTTATTCCGGGGATCAACGCCCCCGCGGCCCGGTCCATGACCAGGCCTCCCGATGGATCAGGGCCTGATCAACTAGGCTGTTACTGATGGCCGCACGCAGTCCAACGTACGAGCCAAAGCCCGGCTGATCCGGCACTGACTTTAGGTATCTGTCCAGCTCTCTCTTGAAGGCAGCCAGGGGCTTATTGGCAATTCCCCTTATGCTTGATGGGAGGCTGTTGAACAGTTTTGGGCCCCGGACACTTATGGTGTTTTCCCTTAGTGTACCAATGGCGCCCCTACTTTTTATTGGGGGCATTTTGCATCGCCTGCCCAATCTTTTACTTTCGTAGGGAGTGATTTCTGTGTGCAGATTTGGGACCACTCCTTCCAAGATTTTCCAAGTGTAGATTATGATATATCTCTCCCTTCTGCGTTCCAACGAGTACAAGTCAAGTGCTTCCAAGCGTTCCCAGTAGTTAAGGTGCTTGACAGAACTTATACGTGCAGTAAAGGATCTCTGTACACACTCTAGATCTGCGATTTCACCTGCTTTGAATGGAGATGTTAATGTACAGCAGTATTCCAGCCTAGAGAGAACAAGTGATTTGAAAAGGATCATTGGGCTTGGCATCTCTTGTTTTGAAAGTTCTCATTATCCATCCTATCATTTTCTTTGCACGTGCGATCGTGGCATTGTTGTGATCCTTGAGAGTGAGATCCTCAGACATTACTACTCCCAGGTCCCTTACATTATTTTTCTGCTCTATTGTATGGCCGGAGTCAGTAGTATACTCTGTTCTAGTTATTATCTCCTCCAGTTTCCCATAACGGAGTAGTTGGAATTTGTCATCATTGAACATCATATCGTTTACCGTTGCCCACTGGAAAACCGCGTCCTCAGCAGATGACAGCCTCATGCAGATCCTAGTATCATCCACAAAGGATGATACGGTGCCGTGGTGTATATCTCTGTCTATGTCTGATATGAGGATAAGGAATAAGATGGGGGCGAGTACTGTGCCTTGTGGAACAGAGCTCTTCACTATGGCAGCCTCCGATTTAACTCTGTTGACCACTACTCTTTGTGTTCGATTTGTTAGGAAGTTGAAGATCCATCTCCCCACTTTCCCAGTTATTCCTTTAGCACGTATTTTATGGGCTATTACGCCATGATCGCATTTGTCAAATGCTTTTGCAAAGTCTGTGTATATTACATCTGCATTCTGATTTTCTTCCAGTGCATCCAAGGCCATGTCATAGTGAGCCAGTACTTGTGAGAGGCAGGAGCGACCTGTCCTGAACCCATGTTGCCCTGGATTGTGCAGATTTTGGGAATCCAGGTGATTTGCAATCCTGCTTCTTAGCACTCTTTCAAAGATTTTTATGATGTGGGACGTCAGAGCTATTGGTCTATAGTTCTTAGCTAATGCTTTGCTGCAACCAAAACCCGGGTGATCCGGCACCGACTTTATATATCTGTCCAGCTCCCTCTTGAAGGCAGCCAGGGGTCTACAACCATCAGACTACCCGAACGACTACAACCATCAGAACCCCCCCTACATCCATGACAAACACAACCATCAGACTACAACCACCACAAACAACCATAAGACCACTGATTATTATTATTATTATTATAATCAAAAAGAAGCGCTAAGCCACAAGGGCTATACAGCGCTGCGTATAAGACCACTGAACCACTACAACCATCACAACAATCCCCCACCACAACACCCACTACGTCAGTACTCTCACGCAGCTAGTGTGGAAAGAGCGTCTGGCTGGCTCTTGCTCGTGTACTCTCACAGTGACTCTTACATTCCAGGTCTCGGGGTAAGAAAAAAACAATTTCAACATTGTTCAATCTTTGTTCGCCGGTATAACAATGATCAACGCATCAGCAGGGCGAGCAGCTCTTTGATGCTGTGACCCACAGTGGCCTGAACCCCAGTCGACAAGGTCATGGTGATCACAAGGTCAGCAAGGTCACGGTGACCATAAGTTCACCAGGAAACGTTAAAGTTACCTTTCTAACGGGAAGAGATTTACACAAAAAATACTATACAATGGATCACCTACGTTTCTTCTCTCAAAGAAAACGCTGACGCAGTTACAACAATTCTTAGGCAGCAGAGAATATTAACCAGTTTCACACTTCGTAAATTTCTGCCAGCTTACTTTTAGTCTTGATGGAAGGTAAGATTAATTGGCATACCAGATCTTTGCCTAAGTATTACTGCTGTCGTTGTGAGCGATAGTACTGAAGAATGATTAGAAAGTACAGATGTGTGGGGGCGGTAATGGTAAACGATACTTCCGGGATGAGGAATTAGAGGCGCAGCACCTGGGTAACTTTAATTGAAGACGCATCGCCAAGCAGGTCTGTACTGAGTCGATAAAGCCGCTGTTCGGCGAGATACCCAGGTGTCACACATGTTAACTGCTCGCCCTCCAGGTAGGTAGACCGTGCTAGAAGTTACCAGGCAGCAACAGAGAGAGAGGAGAGAGAGAGAGAGAGAGAGAGAGAGAGAGAGAGAGAGAGAAGGTCTTTATCAGGCCTCAAGTCATAATTGAAAACTTTTACAACAGTTCTGTATAATAAATTACGAAGGATTTAACCTAGCATCAAACAACTGTCACACACACACAACCTGCAACCACAATTAAGCGAGTACGTACACACATATAAACGCACACACACACACGCGCACACACAACACACACACACACACGCACACGCACAACACACACACGCACACGCACACACACACACACACACACACACACGCCACACACACGCACACACACACACGCACATACACACACACACACACACACACACACACACACACACACACACACACACACACACACAAAATGTTCAAGTTTAAGTTGACACAAAGTGATAACAACAGTTGGGTACAAAGTGACACAGCGTCCCGCGTTTGCAATATACTTTCCACACTTTCCATCATTCCTTTGTTCAGTGCGCAAACCACACGATAAAATGTAAATCAATGGAATTCTGTACCGACAAAATGATGAATTAAACACATATGCAACTTCTGGTCATTTTGTAGACGTTTCGCCATCCAGTGTTTTATCAATACATTACATAGACATAATGTGATAACTAGAAATATATACAATAGACAGTGGAAGACGGGGTAATCAGTCCCTCAGCCTAGTTACATTAGGTCATTGTAATATACTGATAAACATTGGATGGCGAAACGTCTACTGGTAAAGATACCCAGATGTTGAACATAACAGAGACCTTGTCAAATATCATTATTATGCTTAATGTTCACACTGTCCCGAACCCGTCTGAAATATTTTTTTTTGTTTATAAAAATCTGATTTGACAACTCACCTGTACTAGTATTGCTGCTAGAACTAGCTGTAAAATGAAAGACAATATCACAGACCACGTGCAAGTCTACACCTGAACACACCTTGTGTTCTAGCTCTTGACACCTAGTCACACCGTGTGCACCATTCTAGCTACTAACAATGTGTACACGACTAGTCTAGGCCAGGTGTACCTCATTACCATCACCAAAAAACACGAAGAATCAAAAGAGCCTCGCAAATGTTAGGTAGACATGTGTGATAGGGGACAAGAGGCCAGCCGAGCCATTCACACCCGTGGCTAGACCTGGCCAGGCCCAGCAGCATGCAGGTGTCAGCAGTACCGCAGCAGACACAGCAGAAGCAGCAGCAGGTGGAGAAGGCATCCCGCAGCACTGCGAGAGAGCTACAATGACAGCCGAGGAAATTCCTGGGTGTTACCTTTCACTAAGCGTGTACGGCGGGTACTCCACCCTACAACACTGGCTGCCACACACGCTACAAGCAAACACAAACACGCAAGCAACAACCATGACTCTCCATACACAAACGTCTGCATGCACTGGTCACCTCATGGTTCACTAAACGTTTTCCACATTATCAGACACTATAAACAGAGATCACTACGTTACTATTACAACACTGGATACTACACACGTTATTACTGGATGCCAGAGCATCTAGCAGCGTTTATTATTCAAGAAGATCGCGAGTCCATGTAATGGTGTTACTGTGGCGTCTCACACGATCAGTGACGAGGTGCTGGCGGCGTGGGCTCTGACCAGCGACTGCGGGAGTTACCCTCACTGCTCCATCATGTTCAACCACACCAGCCTCATGTACACACACTTGCGCGCGCGCGCACACACACACAAACAAAAAACACACACACACACACACACACACACACACAAGAGGTGTATGTTTCAGTGATATATATATATATATATATATATATATATAATTATATATTTTATATATATATATATATATAATATATATTATATATATATTATTATATATTAAATACATAATATGTGATGTTTAGAATTCGTAGAATAGGCGAAATATTCACAAACACTAATCTCAGGTCGAAGGAGACTCAAACCTACGAACCTTGGAACAAGGTACGCAGTGCCCTACCACGGTACAATACTGGTCCAATGTCTTAGCGCCCACCTAACGCTAGAGTTTTGGTCCAAGGCAGCCAGCATACAGGCAGGTGGTGTTAAGCTTTTCATCTCATCTCCAGCATGCATCGACCGACAAGAAATTTTTACAATGTTTAGAATTCGCAGAATGGGCGAAATATTCACAGAAACCTGGAACAGGCTGGAATACACTGGAATATTGCTATGTATTAACGGCCACCTTCATGGAAAGCGAAACTGCTGAGCTGGAAAATGTACAGAGAACCTTACTGGCTCGTATAAAGTCAGTTAGGCACCTGAAAGATATAAACAAAGTTTTCCAGTGGGCAACGGTAAACAATATGATGCTCAATGAGAATAAATTCCAACTACTCCGTTATGGAAAACTGTAGGAGATAATAACTAGAACAGAGTATACTACAGACTCTGGCCATACAATAGAGTGGAAAAATAATGTAAGGGACCTGGGAGTAGTAATGTCTGAGGATCTCACTTTCAAGGATCACAACAGTGCCACGATCACACGTGCAAAGAAAATGATAGGATGGATAATGAGAACGTTCAAAACGAGAGATGCCAAGCCAATGATGATCCTTTTCAAATCACTTGTTCTCTCTAGGCTAGAATACAGCTGTACATTAATATCTCTATTCAAAGCAGGTGAAATCGCAGATCTAGAGACTGTACAGAGATCCTTTATTGCACGTATAAGTTCTGTCAAGTACCTTAACTACTGGGAACGCTTGGAAGCACTTGACTTGTACTCGTTGGAACGCAGGAGGGAGAGATATATCATAATCTACACTTGGAAAATCTTGGAAGGAATGGTCCCAAATCTGCACACAGAAATCACTCCCTACGAAAGTAAAAGACTGGGCAGGCGATGCAAAATGCCGCCAATAAAAAGTAGGGGCGCCATTGGTACACTAAGAGAAAACACCATAAGTGTCCGGGGCCCAAAACTGTTCAACAGCCTCCCATCAAGCATTAGGGGAATTGCCAATAAACCCCCGGCTGCCTTCAAGAGAGAGCTGGACAGATACCTAAAGTCAGTGCCGGAGCAGCCGGGCTGTGGTTCGTACGTTGGACTGCGTGCGGCCAGCAGTAACAGCCTGGTTGATCAGGCCCTGATCCATCGGGAGGCCTGGTCATGGACCGGGCCGCGGGGGCGTTGATCCCCGGAATAACCTCCAGGTAACCTAAATTACTGGGAGTGCTTGAAATTCCTAGAATTGTACTCCTTAATAACAAAAAAGGCACAATACCGTGACTGGAACGATACACAAATAACCCGCACATAGAAGAGAGGAGCTTTCGACGACGTTTCGGTCCAAGTCCAAGTCGGATCGAAACGTCGTCGTAAGCTCCTCTCTTCTATGTACGGGTTATTTGTGTATTGTACTCCTTAGAATGTAGGCGAGAAAGATACATCATAATCTACACCTGGAAGATTCGTACCAAACCTTCATGCTTAAATTACTACTTATGACCACAAGAAGCTTGACAGACGGTGAAGGATACTTCCAGTGAAGAAGAGGTGAGCAACGATTACAATGAGAGAGAATTCAATAAGTGTAAACTGTAAAGGGACCACGACTCTTCACACGCATAAGGGGGATCATCAACAAACCCCTGGTTGTCTTCAAGGGGAAACTCGACAGATTCCCTAAAACAATACCTGATCAGCCGGGTTGTGGCGCCTACGTTGGGCTGTGGGAGGTGAATACTAACAGCTTGATCAATCAGACAATATCCGGGCAGGGCCGAGGTGGCGGTCACCCCCAGAGGCGCATCCAGGTAAACTCTACACAAGTGTACTTTGTGGCAAGTGTATATGTTTCAGTGTGTTAAGAACTAACAGGTTTGAAACCTAACTAACCAGAGCACAGTAATTATAAACCAAGTACCACTCAATGCAGAAGTGTTACTGGAAAACATTTCTAGCCACAGCACGCGCGGCGCTCATCAGTTACTGGTAGCTATGCTTCTCCAGTACAGCCTTCCTGACCAGGTGGCCGTCCATGTACACCACTACTACCACTGCACCACCACCATTGCACTACCACTACCACTGCATCACCACCTTCACCATGCACCACCACTGCACCACCATATATGCACACCACTACTACTGCACCACACTATTACTGAACACACACCACTCAGCCACCCCCTCACCACCACTGCACTGCACCAACACCACCACCACGGCACCACCACTGACCACTGCACCACCTACACTGCACCACCACTACTACACACTACACACCACTCACCACCATGCACCACCACCTACCACCACTGCACCCACTCACTGCACCACCATCTCCACTCACCACCACCATCACCACTACACTGCCCACCACCCACTACACACCACACCACTACACCACACTCACCACCACAACTGCACCCACCACCACCACCACTGCACCACACTCACCCCCACACCACCACCACCATCACCACACACCAACCCCCCACCACCACTGCCCACCACCACACCACCACCACCACCACCACCACACCATCACCACCACACCACCACCCACACTGCATCACCACCACCACTCACCACCACCCACTGCATCACCACCACCACCACACACCACTGCATCACCACCACCACCACCACCACCACCAACACACACCACCACCACCACCATCACCACCACCACACCACCACACTGCATCACCACCACCACCACCACCACTGCATCACCACCACCACTGCATCACCACCACCACACTGCATCACCACCACCACCACCATCACCACCACCACCACTGCATCACCACCACTACCACCACTGCATCACCACCACCACACCACCACCATCACCACTAGCTTCACTTCTTCCTTCTGCTGTTAGTACAGCTGCTGGCTTCTTGACGTTCATCTTTTTACTCTAGACAAGTTCGTTTCAATCCCAGTTCGTTCGGTCACTCTGTCTCGCTCACTCCTAAATTATAACGGGCAAGTTGGTATTCAACAAGGCTCAGGCATATAAAATAAAAGTATTAGTAATTATGAAAACATATTTATGTATCATGGTACACCTTACAGAGAGAGAGTTAATCATGTATGGGAATCCTTTGTAGGTAATAACCTTAAGCTATGAACGATAATGTGTAGATTAGGGCAGAATGTTTCCAGGGATGGCTGGCAACCAGCTGTGAGTCGACCCACCGTAGTCAGGCCGCTACAAACACAATAAACAAAACAACTCTGGATCACTATCTGCTGGTCCCTCTGGTTACCAACATGGCTCACACACACGCACACACACACACACACACACACACACACACACACACACACACACATACACACACACACACACACACACACACACAGTTCGCGCCTGTGACGAGTGGGTCAGTCATAGGACCGGTGCTGTTTCTGGTATATGTGAACATGACTGAAGGAATAGACTCATAAGTCTCCCTGTTTGCAGATGATGTGAAAATGAGAAAAATTAAATCGGATGATGACCAGGCAGGACTACAAAAGGATCAGGATAGGCTGCAGGCCTGGTCCAGAAACTGGTTCCTGAAGTTCAACCCCAACCAAGCGCAAAGTCATGAAGTTTGGGGAAGGGCAAAGAAGACCACAGACGGAGTGCAGTCTAGGGGGCCAGAGAGACTACAAACCTCATTCAAGGAAAAGGATCTTGGGGTGAGTATAACACCAGGCACATCTAAGGCGCAAATCAATCAAATAATTGCTGCATCAATGGACGCCTAGCAAACCTAAGAACAGCATTCCGATATCTCAATATGGAATCGTTCAGGACCCTGTACACCCTCTACGTCAGGCCCATGTTGGACTATGCAACACCAGTTTGAAACCCACACCTAGCCAAGCACGTAAGGAAATTAGAGAAAGTGCAAAGGCTTGCAACAAGACTAGTCCCGGAGCTCAGGGGCATGTCCTACGAGGAGTAGTTAAGGGAAATCGGCCTGACGACACTGGAGGACAGGAGAGATAGGATATGATAACGACACGGTGGACAGAGACAGGATGTTCCTGAGATGGGACACAGCAACAAGGGGTCACAACTGAAAATTGAAGACTCAGATGAATCACAGGGATGTTAGGAAGTATTTCTTCAGTCACAGAGTTGTCAAAAGTGGAATAGTCTGGAAAGTGATGTAGTGGAGGCAGGATCTATACATAGCTTTAAGAAGAGGTATGATAAAGCTCATGGAGCAGGGAGAGTAACCTAGTAACGACCAGTGAAGAGGTGGGGTCAGGAGCTGTGAATCGACCCCTGCAACCACAACTAGGAGAGTACACACACATACACAGTAGCGAACAGTGAAGAGGCAGGACCAGGAGCTATGACTCGACTCCTGCAACCATAATTAGGTGAGTACACAGGGACAACAGAAACAGGAAGACTAGACCCATACTTTACCCAGAGGTGTGGAGAGGCCAAAGCCAAGTGTGCTGAAGTATGGAGAAAGTATAGAAGGTAAAGGACCCAGGAAAACAGGGAGTTGAGCCACAGAGCCAGAAATGAATATGCATGGATAAGAAGAGGAGCACAGCGTCAATATGAGAATAACATAGCATCACAAGCCAAATCTGACCCAAAGTTGCTATACACCCACATTAGGAGGAAAAC